CTCAGCCCCCTACTCTCTACTACTTATAGGAAAGGAATCAGGACTTTTATTTTCTTTCATTTTTTTAAAATTTGGTTTGGTTTGTCAAACATGTCCAAGATAACAGGTATAAGTATAAACATGGACATGAACAAGGGAAATGAGTACAAATAAATGGGGACAGTAGGACAGGGATGGTAGGCACACTGGTGGCACTTATGCACTCCCCCTTATGGACCTCTTAGGAGTAGGGCAGTGGTGGGATTCAAATAATTTAACAACCGGTTCTCTGCCCTAAGGACCAGCTGGGTAGGTGGGGCTCGGTGGTCATGTGACTGGGTGGGTGTGATAAACTCAACATCAGTCAGGTTGATGGGCGCTTCGCCTTAGCTGTGACAATGTCATAAGGGTTAACCGGAGAGGCAGTTTCTGTAAGCAGGTCAATAAAAATTACGCTAGAAACAACACCAGAATGTTTCCTTCCTGCCTTCCTTACAGGATTAGCCCTGTAAAGTGGAAAAAACACAAAAGGAGATTTCTTCCAACAATCGGTTCTCTGAACTGCTTAGAAAGTTGGTTGGTTGGTTGGTTGGTTGGTTGGTTGGTTGGTTGGTTGGTTGGTTGGTTGGTTAACAACTGGTTCTCCCAAATAGGTGCGAAGTTAACAACCGGTTCTCCCAAATAGGTGCAAACTGGCTGAATTCCACCACTGGAGTAGGGTGAGGTCCACAGTTAAAGTTATGGGGGTTTGAGGATGTAACAGCGGAGTTGGGTAGAGCATTCCAGGCATTGACCACTCTGTTGCTGAAGTCGTATTTTCTGCAATCGAGTTTGGAGCGGTTTTACCTTGAGTTTGCATCGATTGTTTGCTCACGTATTATTGAGGTTGAAGCTGAAGTAGTTGTTGACAGGTAGGACGTTGTAGCAGACAATTTTGTGTATTAGGTCAAACTGTAGGCGGGGTAGTTTTAGGATGTCAAAGCCCAAAATTTCGAGCCTGGTTCTAAGGAACGGTGGGATATTCTTATGTATCAAATAAACGTCTCACGGAAGATGGGAGCTCCCCAAACTTTGGAAGGCGCTCTGGGTGGGATTGCAAGCCTTGTGATTGATCTCTCTCCATCTAGCTGTTTCTTTGCTCATCATCGTCTGCCTGGTTTTGCATGTAAAGTAGCCGCCCGCCTCTTCAGCTGGTGGCCAGCTTCATCTGCCAGCTCCACAGAATCTTAATCAGCCGTTTCACCGGTAAGACCTAGGCTGGTTTCCCCCCCTCCTTCCCCAACCATCCTCTTCTCTTTACCTCTCTTTCTCCCCCTCTCTCTCCCTCCCTCTCTCTCTCTTTCTCTCTCTCACGACAGAAGCACACACACATATTTTCCTGCTGATTGGTGGCTAGATTTAAGAACAATCAAGGTCAACCTCACCATCCTTGAATTACCAAGACACACTCAAGCACAAGAGATCAAACCATTTCAACGTTCAAATCCCTTGGGGGATGGGCGATGGGATCGAAGGAGAATATCCACTCTACGTTTCATGCTTTCAGTCCTTAGCAACATTTCCTAGATCGGTTTCTTTCTTTCTTTCTTTCTTTCTTTCTTTCTTTCTTTCTTTCTTTCTTTCTTTCTTTCTTTCTTTCTTTCTTCGTTCTTTCTTTCTCTTTCTTTCTTTCTTTCTTCTTTCTTTCTTTCTCTTTCTTCCTTCCTTCCTTCCTTCCTTCCTTCCTGCCTGCCTGCCTGCCTGCCTCCCTCCCTCCCTCCCTCCCTCCCTCCCTCTTTCTTTCTTTCTTTCTTTCTTTTTTCTTTCTTTCTTTCTTTCTTTCTTTCTTTCTTTCTTTCTTTCTTTCTTTCTTTCTTTCTTTCTTTCTTTCTTTCTTTCTTTCTTTTTTTAGTCTTAGGTCACCAAGAGGGATTGTTACAAGCAGAACATTTCCTGGGAGTAGCCCATAAAAGGGGGAATTGCAATTCGGTTCCCACTGTGGGTTTCGTGTAAGTTTAAACACAACTGGGGAAGAAGCTAAGTTAGCATTCCTGCGGATTTTTGCCTTTCTGCGTGGGATTTTTAGCGTGTTTTTGCAAAGCAGGAGCTTTTTTTTTTTTTTAATTGTGCAAACCCAGAAAATGGATTAATACAATAATTAGGCTTAATGTGCGGAGTGAAAAACGATTAGAATCAGCCGGTGAACGAGGCAGTGATTCAGTCCTTCAGGGATTTTGCTGCCTGGAAATATTGTCCTAGTGATTGAAGTCAGAGGTCAAGGGAAAAAGGAGGCACTTTAAAAAAAATATATAAGGAAACACCAGGGGGGAGAATAACAACAACCCCCCCCCAATCAATAGGAGAGGGAGATGTATGCTGACAGTGTTGAAAATGAAGAATATTGTGTAGTTTTAGTGGGCTTTGAATTGTGAATTTCTACTCCCACAGGACTACTTCCATTGGAAAAAAGAAAAGACAGGAATTCAATTTTTTTAAAAAATATGTTATATTAATACATTTTTAATAAACAGAAAAAGTTCCATATCTTATTGAATAGGGTTTGTCCGGACACAATAACAATCCAACAACAACAACAACAACAACAACAACAACAACAACAACAACAACAACAATAATAATATAATATAATATAATAAGGATATAATATCATATAATGGGAGTTTTGGCATATTACGAAAATACGTTACGACGTCCTAGGCCCCTGGGTGGGGCCCAACTAGTAACCAATGCCAAATCCCGCGAAACAACTGGCCGCTGTGATACAATTGTATAATAATCATAATCATAATCATAATCATAATCATAAACATGTCAATATTAATCACAAGGTAGTAGTACAATTAGTTTATCCATTGCAAAATGTTCAATACAATTTTTTAAAAAAATATTTTTAATCTTTTTAATTTCTAACCTCTGTTTCTGTTAGCCATTGGTAATACAAATCCCATGTTAACAAGTATTCTGTTTCTTCGCTTTCTTTTCTTTTAAATGTTAACCTATCCATCTTGGCACATTCTAATATATTTTTTTAATAACGCTTCCCTCTGTAGGGAGACAGGAATTCATTTGAGGGGAAAGGAAACGTTACAAATATTTGAAAAGCTGATTTTACGGAACTGAAATTTTAGTTTGTAATTTAATAGATTTTTTAATAGATGTAATAGATTTGGAGCCTTAACCACTTCTTGTTTTGCTGCAGTTTCATTTCCCAAGGAAACACCACTGAACTCTGTTTAAACAGCAATCCCGGGTGGGGGTTATACAGTAATTTAGTATACGGGTAGTTCTCCACTTACGACTGGTCACTTAGTGACCATTGAAAGTTACGACGGGCCTCCCTGGTAATACGTAGGAGCTGGTTCTGAAGTTCCAACTGCTGCTCTTCCTCCATGGACACATGAGACATTAACGACCATTTGCAATGCCCCATACTCACGTGACTGCATTTTAATTATTTCCAGTGTTGGGCAAAACCAGCCTACTGTATCAAGCTATATTCTCCTATCCGATTACAAGAGGCAACATTGGCTGAGGATTCTGGGTTTTAAATTAGAGAAAAAACTTCAAAGACACCAATCTTCAATTAGCAATAGCAATAGCAATAATATATACCGCTTCATAGGGCTTTCAGCCCTCTCTAAGCGGTTTACAGAGTCAGCATATCGCCCCCACAGTCTGGGTCCTCATTTCACCCACCTCGGAAGTATGGAAGACTGAGTCAACCTTGAGCTCTGTCAGGATTGAATTCCAGGCTGTGGGCAGAATATGCCTGCAATAGTGACCTTTAATCACTGCACCACATGACTCTAGCAATAGCATAGCAATAGCAATAGCAATAGCAATAGCAATAGCAATAGCAATAGCAATAGCAATAGCANTACTAGACATATCCAATTCCTGCAACTGTTCTTCATATGTTTCAGCCTCCAGTCCCCTAATCATCTTTGTTGCTCTTCTCTGCACTCTAGAAAGAGTCTCAACATTTTTTTTACATCATGGCCACCAAAACTGGATGCAGTATTCCAAGTGTGGCCTTATTAAGGCCTTATAAAGTGGTATTAACATTTCACATGATCTTGATTCTATCCCTGTTTATGCAGCCGAGGATTGTGTTGGCTTTTTTGGCAGCCACTGGGTCACATTTAAATGGTTGTCCACTAAGACTCGAAGATCTCTCTCACAGTTAATACTAGTGAGCGAAGTACCACATATACTTTACCTGTGCATATATGGTCATCATGTTGCAAGAGAAACAAACCAAGCTCCAAGTTCAGATGATCCCCTAAGTCATCTTGAGCCACTTAACATGCTAGTTGTATGAGAGATGAATATGCTTAACCATGGTTAGGATTAACCCAGTTGACACCGAGTCACAAATTAACCACCCAGATAACGTAGCGCGTTGCTGAGTTTGCCGAGCTGTTCAGGTTATTCACTGCACCCCCAGTCCACTAGACACAATTAGAGCGGCCTCTGGCAGCAGCAGTGATATACGGGTGTACCATGTATGTTTACAAATCTAGTCCTCCAGTGTCATTAATTACTGCACTTAATCATCTGCCTCCTATGCATGGCATTTCTGAGATTGGTTGTGCAAACCGGTTCTCTGAGAAACTTTATGAACTAATCCATCAAAGTAATAAATGTGAGTTTTTTTGAGGAAAGCCACACGAGTGTGAACTACTCAATCTATTTGTTTAGCTACTGTCAATATTAATAGAGCACGTGCTAAGTTCTGAAATAGATATCCAGAAAGAAAGAAAGAAAAACTGCAGGATTATATTCTTTCTCTGGTAGAAGGATCTGAGGCATGCTCTTCAAAGACATCCTTAGTACCACACAGATTGGCTTCGTCTAAGAAAACCCACCAGATTCATTTCTTTGCTGCTCTGTCTTCTTAAACAGTAAATGCAACCCACTTTCCACCCCAAACATACTTTCCCTTCATAAGAAAAGCACTTATTTGCAGTAGGTGTCCCACATTTGTAGAATAAATCAAGAGGCAAGAATGGAAACAAAGCTGTTTTTTTCTACTGTATTTATTTTTTTATTGTAGACCTTGATAAAAAGATTACATGCCATTAAGATAGTTTGAAAAGAAATGTTAAGATCAATCGTTGGCTAACAATTTGCTATTCATTACTGGTCAATACTGATAAGTTTCACAAGAAGAAAGGGGAAAAAAAATATCTGACTGAGGACTTCAAAAACGCAACATTCCAAACCAAAATTGACACAGAAGAGAGATACACCCTAGTGACGGGAGTGAAAAAGGTTCTTGGATGCTTCTGATCTTCGTATCAGAGAGCCTGGAAAACTAGAATAATAGAAAAGGTAGTGAACTGACACAGATCGAAACTGGATTTTTTTTTTAAAACCGTTTTTATTTTTTGCAAATGCATTCAAGTGTTTTGCTGGCGGATGTTGCCTGCTAAAAAGCAGGTTTGAAAACAAAACAAACAAACAAAAAAACAACCACCACGAAGCTTTGCAAGAAACCCAAATATCCAACATAGGATCGATTGAAAAGCAACACTTTAAAAGCACCAGTGCTGCTGTTGCATCATTTTTGTCCCATATCAAATCTTCATACCAAGGAAGACTGATTAGAAGTGCAATAATCTGGGAGGGTTGGAGGTAAATGCTATCCTCCTTGTTGTCACCCCAAGTAAGAGAGTTCATATTTTAAGATGTTCAAGCGTTCATTATATACTCAGGCAGCTCTGAAGCGAGCTGAAATCAGCAGGGTCAACCTCCATCAAAACTGAGTTCAAAGAAACCATCACTTCCTCTGTCTGGAGATTTATAAAGCCTTCAGTTGATGCCTCCACCCCCACCCCCCAAAGAAATGACAGCTCAGTTTTGGCCCACAAAGGGCACAGAAAAACTGGATTGAGAAAGTGCCCTCCCCCGCCCCCCGAGTGTAAATTCATCTCAATGGTGTCAAATTCTGAAGTTGAGAGAGAAAATGCTTCTAAGCAACTTGGAAGAATAGGAAAGTTGACCATTAAACAAAACATTTTTTTTAAAAAAAAAGATGGCTTAACCCAATAGAAGTTGCATATCTATAGAGTATTTCAAGCTTCCAGATCAAACTGGTTGTTTTGATAGCAGGCAAACATAGGCAATGATCTGCTAGGTACAGGGAAGAGAAACCAACAGCCCTAAAAATAAAGAGCTAGAACAGAAAAAAGATATCAGGATGGTGTCTAGGCTTCAAGGCAGTGTCCATTTGCTAGGATTGGATCCCAAAAGCCTGAAGGATGGGAATTACTTAGAATTCTTCAAGAATTCAAATGTACTTGCAAATCTTTTGATTCAAGCAATGAAGCATCTGGTTTGTATCAATGGCTTCTGAACATCTTAGAAAGTGATGGAACAGGTCATTAGTTGCTGGCTAGCATGATCTTCAAAGCTTTTATTCTGCGCCATGATTTTATTTGGCATTTCCTGGAGCTCTAAAGTTTGTCTCAAGAAACAGCTAGGAGAATACCAAACAAGATACTGCAATATATGCTATCACAAGTTTTTTTTTTTTTTTAATGAAAACAAGTGTGGGGAATCATGCATATTTCAAACCCACCCCAAAATGGAATGTGGTGGGAAAAGAAACTCCATGGCTGTGAGAATTGAAATACGAGAAAAAAAAAGGTAATACCAACAAGATGAAGACATCTTCTGGAGACAATCATAGAAAAACTGAAAGACTGGACAAATTTGATGGCAAACATGCTACCTGGAACTTCAGATAATATGAATTAAGAGGTATGATTAATCTGCAAGAATTCTAAATTCGAATAAGGATGCTGTGGATAATCAGTTTTTAAGCTGGATTTTACACATAAAGAGTCTTTACGGTACAAGATGTTATTTGATTAACGTAAGTCTTTGTCATATTTATGGCTGCTTTGGTAGACTTAAGGAAAAAAGAGATGTTATCTTGAGGAGGTACAATTGCACCTTCAACAAACTGTAATCATATTTATTTAACAGGATATAAAATAGGCATGCAAATTCCAAACAGCTTTATCTCCTACAAAGAAAGCTTCCTGAGAATATCCAGGCACCATCATGGAAATTAAAAAAAGACAATCTAAGCATGTGAACAAAAGACATTCAGGCTGGCTTAAATACTGCACATATTTGGGAAGGAGGCCTGAGAGACATTGTTGGTAAAAGTTCCCAAAACAAGTTCACGAAATTTATGCTAAGATAAATGGTTTGGTCTGTTGCAGAATTTTTCATTAGCAACTTCCCGGACCCCAGAATTGATGAAAATAGGCAGAATTTGCCAAATGTAATATATACTCCCAGAGGCGATGCATGCCAGGAGTTCATATTAAAAATTGTAAAATTGTCATGCTGACCTTAAAGAAAAAAAAATGAGGAATTTCACCTATTCAGACCAGGTTTAATCCAGTCTACCTTGTTCAAAATACATATTGTGGGCTTCTCCTATTACCGTATTTTTCGTAGTATAAGATGCACCAAGATTTTGAAGAGGCTATTTTTTTGCAAAGGTTTTTGCATTCTGCAGACCTCCCCAAAACAGCCCATTTTTTGCAAAAATGGGCCTTTTTTGTCAAAAAAGGGCATGCATAGCCTTTAGGCAGCTTATAGAGTGCTGCTGGGGACTGGAGGGGGGGGGAGGGCAAACATGAGCAAAAATATGGCCCATTTTTCGCTCATTTTTGCCTTCCCCAGTCCCCAGGAGCACTCTGGAAGCCTCCTAAAGGCTATGCCCAGCCATTTTTGCAAAGGGGGCGGGGTTTTGGAAGACCAAAGATGCTGTATTCAGTATATAAGACAACCCCCAGATTTTCACCCTCTTTTTTGAGGGAAAAAGGTGCATCTTATACTCCGAAAAATATGGTAGGTCCCAACAAGAAGTATTGGCCAAAACTCCTGACCATAACTTACCCCACATGGACATTAGCTAGGTTGATTGAGGTTGCTAGGAATTACAGCTTCAAACATTGGAAGGGGATTTGACTGTGGAGATTGTTATAAATGGCTGCTAAGGCATAGAGGACTTTTGATTAAAAGCACTGCTCCTGTTTCTGAAGACCAGGTATCTTCTCTTAGGATACTAAAGGTAAAGATACAGGTTCCTCTCGAACATATGTGCTTGTTGTTCCCGACTCTAGGGGGCGCTGCTCATCTCTGTTTCAAAGCTGAAGAGCCAGCACTGTCGAAAGATGTCTCCGTGGTCATGTGACCGACATGACTAAACACCGAAGGCGCACGGAATGCTGTTACCTTCCCACCAAAGGTGGTTCCTATTTGCATTTTTACGTGCTTTCGAACTACTAGGTTGGCAGAAGCTGGGGCAAGTAACGGGATCTCACTCCATTACACGGCACTAGGGATTCGAACCGTCGAACTTTCTGATCGACAAGCTCAGCATCTTAGCCACCGCGCCCCTCTTAGGATACTGGAGATGTTTAATTTGACAGCTTTTTTGCATGCTGGGAGGGAACCGGGAAAGATCCAAAATTGAAATCAATTTCTGGCAAGACCGAACAGCAATAAAGGCATCCTAGCCATCAGAATATAATATCAGTAATGTCACTCTGGATTTTCAATAAAGAACCAACAATGTGAACAAGAGAGAATCTCTGTAGATTCTTTTTTTTTTTTTTTTTTACTCTTGCAACAATTTAAAATGAAAACGACTGGCTCCATTTTGCACACCTACCTATTTATTGGCTCTTTTCATATAGTACATCTGGATCATTCTCTGACGGAACGTAGCAAAGGTATCCTCTTTGTTCTTCCCTGCAACACCCAAGCCCTCCCCTGCCGAGGTAGAGCCCCTATAGGAGGCAAAAAAAAAAAAATTTAAAGTAAGTATGGAGATATCTCAATTTCTTACTGTCAGCTCCAATGACAATGTGCAGGATGAACTGGAGGTGGGGAAGGGGGTGAGGGGAAGGAACTTAGTTGCAAAGCTTTCAAAAAGATAATCAAATTTGACGACGTTGATCTGTGAGTTATTGGGTGCCTTAAATCAGCTGCGGTGTAAATTTCAGAGGCTTGCAAAAAGTACCCGATCGCCTTCCCAAAGGAACTAAACTTGCTATGGTTATTCAGAAGACCTGTTGGGAGGCATGAACTTTCACTAGTTAAGCAGTATCCCAGATTGCTAATGTGTAAATACTTTGGTTCTCAGAAAAATAATCTCCTGTCCTGCTCTTTCACCCAAGGAGCGGAGCGACGTGAATTAAGATTCTTAAGGAAGGTTTAGCAAAAAGAAGCTAGAGAATCCTCCAGTAAACTTCATGATCAAACAGGGATTAGAAGCTCTTCCTGAGGTCTAAACCAACCGCGTATCTGCTACCAGGCAAATGAAGAGATCCGTTCTTACAAAAAATAGGAGGAGATGCCACGAAAGCCGGGAAAAGTAATGGCTTTCCCAGCTTGTTTCTATGGGGGTCACTCAGTGGAATCAAAGGTCTTCTACCATTGAAAATAAAATAACTCAAAGATGTAGTCATCTCTAACAGTATGCTCTCTTCATTTGCCTTTTATTCTTCCGGCTTCTCCAAAAAGAGCAGCAAACGCTCTGTTAAGTCTCTGGTGCAAAGTGATTCGCTGAATGCCTGTTTTTATGAAGCAGTATGAACCTCAGAAATATCCACAACCTCAGATATGCAGATGATACCAACCTCGTGACAGAAAGTGAAGAGGAACTAAAGAGCTTCTTGATGCGGGTGAAGGACGAGAGTGCAAAAGTTGGCTTGAAACTCAACATAAAGAAAACTAAGATCGTAGCATCCAGCCCTCTCAATTTCTGGCAAATAGTTGGGGAAGAAATGGGGGTAGCGATAGATTTTATTTTCCTGGGCTCCGAGATCACCGCAGATGAGGACTGCAGCCAAGAAATTAGAAGATGCTTGCTCCTGGGGAGGAAAGCTATAGCAAATCTAGACAGCATACTAAAAACCCTGCCAACAAAAGTGCGTATAGTCAAGGCTATGATTTTCCCAGTTGCAATGTATGGATGTGAAAAGTGGACTGTAAGGAAGGCTGAGCACCAAAGAATGGAGGCCTTTGAATTATGGTGCTGGAGAAGACTCCTGCAAATCCCTAGGACTGCAAGGGGATCGAACTGGTCAGTCCTAAAGGAGATCAACACTGACTGCTCTTTAGAAGGCCAGATCCTGAAGAGGAAATTCAAATACTTTGGCCACCTAATGAGAAGGAAGGATTCACTGGATAAGAGCTTGATGCTGGGAAAGATTGAGGGCAAAAGAAGAAAGGGAGGACAGAGAATGAGGTAGCTGGATGGAGTCACCGAAGCAGTCGGCATGAGCTTAAATGGACTCCAAAGGATGATGGAGGACAGGAAGGCCTGGAGAAATGTTATCCATGAGGTCGTGATGGGTTGAACACGACTTCGCAACTAACAAATGAGTAAAATCAATTTGGAATAGAAGCAGAGAGTGATGCCTTTTTAAAAAAAACTGCCCTGTATAAACTATAAAGAAGGAGAAGAGAAGACCAAAGTAAAATTGGTTGAGATATAAATGTTATATAAAAGGGTTTCCTGAATATCCTTGAGATTAACTTTTCTTTTAGAACAATATTTCCAAATGTGTAGATCATGGTGAAAGAAACAGCGAACTTGTAAAAGATTCGAGTGTTTTATAAATTATCCTGATATGGAAAAATCATTTGGCTCTGTCATCAAATATAAATCAACCATTTATCTAATAAGGCACCTTCCAACAGGGGGAGCCTATTATAACTGACAGGAAGTGGGCAGAAAGATGTAGGCGTTGTATTCTCATTAAGAATTCCCAGTGGCATCTTCTGCGCCAAATGTAGAGACTTTAGCAATCCAGAGATATTGTTTAATTATACACTGCCCAGTTCCCTCTGTTACAAAATATGATAAATATAGGTAGTCCTCGACTTACAACAGTTCATTTAGTGACTGTTCGAAGTTACAACGGCACTGAAAAAAGTGACTTATGACCCTTTTTCACACTTAGGACCACTGCAGCATCCCCAAGATCCTGTGATTTACATTCAGATGTTTGACAATTGCTTCACATTTACGACGGTTGTGTGTCCTGGATCCCCTTTTGCGACCTTCTGACAAGCGGAGTCAATGGGGAAGCCAGATTCACTTCACCACCGTGCTACTAATTTAAGAACTGCGGTGATTCACTTAACAAATGTGGTGAGTGCTATAAAGCCCTGGCATTCTGACCTGTGTCTTACGCATGGTTGGCGGTTGTATAAAGGATCAGTTCACATGGAAGCTGCCTTGATATTTAAGGGACTCGCAGAGTAGGACGACGAAATAGAAAAGCTCAGGCACATGATCTGCCCTTCAGAACGATGGAACAATCGTAGCCCACTTTTTGAGAAACAACTGTGTCAAATTTCATATGGGAAGAGGTAAGCACTGCACAAATCAAAGTGTTGTGGCCGCCATCGAGCTGGCAGCGGACTCGGACGATGTGGAGGTTGGGGAGGAATTTGGGCCAGTTCTGGAGTCTGTGGAAGGCTCGGATGGATGCTCTGCGTGGGAAGCAGAGATAGAGCCAGGGCCATCCAACAGCTGGGGCCTATTACAGATGCACGTATACGCAGAGCTGTCAGGAGAGGAGAACAACTGAGGAACAGGGGCTGACTGAAAGGCACATGTGGACACTGAATGGTCCCTCCCTGGCTGGGGAATAAATAGAAGCAAAAAGGAAGTGGTGATTGCAGGAGACAACAATTCGGAAGATTTGTTATCGTGGTTCCTGCCTCAGAGACGGCTTGCCAGGAATTAATGTACAGCTTTGAGACTGGAAGCTCTCAGCGTGGCAATTATCCAAGGAACCGATAAGGTCTGCTACTGCAATTAACCCTTGGAAGGATTATTGCCTGGACTTTTCTGTGTGTGAATGCCATGAATTCACAGTAGCTAAATAAAGAGGGTTTTTTGGTTCTGCTAAGGCTGGATCAGAACACAAAGAGAGATTTCAGATGAACTAATTCTTATCATTATGAGCCTTCTGGTGAGATAGAAGATCCGCTGCCTATAGACTGTTCTTCCACTCAGCTCTATCTCCATCCTTGATTCAGTCCAAGGAGATGGGAAATGAACACTTGGAAGCCCCTGATTGATCAGAGCCAAATTCATAACCACCGGTAAAGAGAGCGCGAGAATAAGAAATGGCTCGATCTGGTGTGAATGGAAAAAAAAAAAGCCAGAGCAGCATAGGAAGATCTGGAATACTTCCAAACCATGTTGAGCAAAGCTGCTCGAAAAAGATGCACTGAAGTAGGTCAGCATCCTAAGGAACAGAAAAAGTGCAGTTGATTCCTTGTGCCATCCAGAGACCACAGCTGCAATGCTGTCCATTTTTTCCTAGACCCCCCCCCTAGTGACGAAGAACATGAAAACTGGCGTCATTTAACTAGCTCTAACTCTACTCTAACTTACAATATCGAAATTAATAAAAAATTTGCCAATATTTGGGTGGTGGTAATTAATGTGCTGTGGGATCAAATGTCCCAAAGGTGCTTTTTTCAAGAGGCAGCTGGGCTTTTGGGGTTTTCTTTGAAGATGTTTCGGGTTTCATTCAAGAAGCTTCTTCCATTCTAACGAATCCCTCCTTCCATTTTCTCCTTCCAAATCCTTCCGTTCCCCACCATCCAGTCAGAGCTGAAGAAGCTTCTTGGATGAGAAGCGAAACGTCTTCGAAGAAAAACAAAGGAAGTCCAGTTGCCTCCTGAAAAAGCACCTTTGGGACAACGGTGACCTGGATGACTGAGTATCTCCTTAGACTTGGGATCAAATGGCAACTCGGATGAAAGCAAAGGTATCCAGACTTAAAGCTATTGTGTTCTGTGCCTTGGGGATAATGGTAAATTGGAAAAGGTTCAGCCAGCAGCTATTACTCCTCCTGACTCTTATGTGCTGGAAGATTGCGAAGGTAGGAGACAAAAGGGAAATACAAATAAATGGGAAAATTTTTGCCATGGAACAAAACAACCCAGCTCCTCTGTCTAGTGCTCAATTATCACATCATATCCTACAATAGCAATACTTTCTTTTACAGAGATTATTCTAGAAGGCACTGAACCCTCTTCAGCTGTTAGCACAAAAAGGAAGACTGTAGGGAAGAGTCAGACATGGTTCAGAAAGTTTTGTCAGTGATCTTGGTGCTGAGGGATCTTGGGGTTACTGTAATCTGAAGGACAGAGTTTGTAAACAACTAGTTTCTGACAACACACACTGCCTCTTCTGTAGAATCTGAGAAAACAGGGAAGGAGATGAATTAAATCTAGCAACGTTGTGCATTCAGAATAGATTACTGCAGTATGGGTGGCTGGGGAATTCTGGGAGTTGAAGTCAACAAGTCTTAAAGTTGTTAAGATTGGAGATGCCCTACTCTACTATACAGCTGTGGATGCCCTGTTGAACCTACTCAAGTACCACATACCATTACAGGTAGTCCTCAAATTACAACAATTCGTTTAGTGACCGTTCAAGTATTTCATAGTTAAGACTGTTACTGCACCCCCAAAGTCAGTGATCAACATTCAGACACTGGGCAACTGACTCATATTTGTGACGGTTGCAGCATGATTCCCCTTTTGCAAACTTCTGACAAGGAAAGTCAGCGAGGAAGCCTGATTCACTTAACAACAGTGTTCCTAACTTAACAATTGCAGCAATTCACGTAAGTGTGGCAAGAAGGGTTGTAAAATTCACTTAACAAATGTCTCGCTTAACAGCAGCAATTGTGGACCTCAGTCGAGGACTACCTGTACATCCTTAATTCATCCAGCCCAATAATGTCCTGACAGGCTGACAGCAGTTTTTTGGATGTCTTTTCAACCACTCTGATATTTTTTAAACTGGAATGTAAGAATTCAGACCTGTGTGTGGAAAGCAGAGGCAATCTATGAATGCTCTGATGAGCTTGTGGTCACCTACTTTGTATGGAAAGTCCCTATCTCAATCCTTAGCATTTCCAGAAATGAACTGTAAAGGCCCTGATTAGGAGAAAGCAAGATTTACAGATGTTTAGTCACTAGTTGTCGCTGGGTTCTAAATTCAGGCCAAGATTACACCAGAAATTACAGAAATCAAGAGTCCATCATCATTGGGAGGGATTCAAGACCTCTCATCTTTCCAATAAACAACTAGGTTAGATGACCCAATGCTCTAATGTGCCATAAGGCAATTATTTATATTTCAGTTACAAATTCTTGCTATAAAACGGGAAGCTATTGTGGGCTGATATTAAGACTTTGTATGTTGTGAGCAGAAACTACACGGCTCAGGATTAAATTACTATTTTCAAAAGGATTGAAGGAAGGAAGGAAGGAGTCAGATACTTCTTTCTCATTTATTCGGAAGACAGATTAAAAATGCTTTTAAGGTAATGGAAGATTAAAGAAAAACTCAAGAACATGTTGGCATCAGGTAAAGACAAGGGAAAAGATGGCAGAAATCTGATACCTTATGAAGGGAGGCTGGACAACTTTCAAAGACTCTCTTTTAAGAGTTGAAGAACTGTAGTCCTTCAGCTACTAAATACGACATCCTTTACCATGGAGATACTGTACTTGGCTGGGGCTAATAATATTCAACCCAAAGACATTGGATTGGCTTCAGGAAGAGAACATGGGGAATTACAAAAATATGGTCACAAAAAGGCCAGCACTGAGACCCTAAATGCCACCTCGCCTTAAGCACATCTCCAAAGGAACTAAACCTTTAAGTTAGCACAAGTACATTACCAGGAACTCAAGAGTTCATGCTGATATAAGAAGAATCACATTCTTATAATAGACCAGAAAGCCTATAATCTAATCTCCTATTCAAATAACATTTATTTGACAATGCAAAGAGAACAAGAGTACAGATAGGACCTTGGATTTCTGGGAAATGGTCCTCAGAAGAAAAGAGCTGCCTTCAATAGTTCCCAAGTCAAGGGTGTGCTTTGGTTTTCTCAGTTTGTTTTAAAGACTCAGAGGCAGAAACCAATAACCCAGAAAAAGCTATCTTGTTACTTGCTAATCTCAACACAGGCTCACGAAGTTAAGTACGCTTATGTGTGCTCATATAGGGATGTGCACTTGGGTCTACATATAATATATATGATTCAATAACAGAATGCTTGAAAATGGTTTCTGGGATAGATAATTTAGCCTGGCCACTGTTAAGTGGGAAAATCCTAGGAAGAAAAAGACTGTTGTTTACTTATGTGCCTGAGGATTTTGGTTTAGGGTAAGGTAAAGGTTAAGGTTCCTCTCACACATATCATATTTTTCGGAGTATAAGACGCACCAAGATTTTGAAGAGGCAAATAAAAAAAAAAGGTTTTTGCCCTTTTGCAAAAATGGGCCCTTTTTTTTTTTTAAAAAAGGGCATGAATAGCCCTTAGGAGGCTTGTAGAGTGTTCTGGGTGGG